CAAAACTCACCCCTCACAACCTATTTCCTCAGCTGACAAGAGCCAGAAGCAAGGTCTTATCTCCTCGGCGGGCATGACTCTGGCTGGCGTGGAGGGAGGCTGGCGGCTGTGGTTACACATCTGCACCCAGGCCAGCATTCCTCAGCAGGTTTTATCTCCATCCACTTCAGGGTTATGCACCTTTCAACACCCTCTGTGTTGAATAACTTCATGCACCCAAGCCCCATAAATTTCTACAACTACAGTAACTCACAGATGGGTATGGATGGTTATAAAATCATGTCCTAAATTAGGACAGCAAGAAGCTGAGATTGGAAGAGTAGGAGGAATTCAGGAAATCCCAGGAGAAGATGATGGGGGAGGGATTTAGTCTCTTTAGAAAACAATAATGCAGTTTAATCTATTTTTTCTTTTGACTTTACACACTAAAATAAGCTTCTCAGCTTCTGCGCCTGTCACAAATCATAAGGAAAATAAGGCCACTGGAACCCCATCAGTAGAATAAGAGCTATACAGTAATAATCCTGAGGAGCTGCGCAGGGCTTTCCATCTTCAAAGTGTTTTACAGACAGTAATTTATTAATCTGCAGATTTCCCCTGGCCATAAGTAACTACTCTGCCTCTCTGCTAAGCGAGAGACACGCAGTGCAGATCTGCACTTGGGAGAGATGGCACGGGTGGCAGCTCTGACCTCTGGAGCCAGACCTTGGGTGCTGGCTCGCTGCAGTCAGACCTTCACTGCTCCAGCCTGAATCCAGAAGCACTGGTCATGTCTGGCACTTTGGAGGCAACTTCAGAGGGGACAAAACCAATGCCCAAGAGCCTCTGGTATGGGGGAGCACAAGATCCATGCTCAGAACCCAGGAAATAACAGAAAAGCCTGAAATAAAACTCCCAGGACAGAAGCAGCTGTCTGCCTTACAGCCACTGCCTGCCATGCTGGGGTGTTGCTCTGGGCAGAAGCTGCCCCCAGTCCTGGGCTCATCCTACCAGGCAGCCTGGCCGATATCCCCCAGGGAAGCTGTCAGAGGAGTTTCCTAGGCCAACACGATGCTTCCTCCCACCAAAGGACTATTTATGCAGTTACCTGTTCACACTAGGTGGGTCCTTTAGATAATCAGCATTAGGCTGCTGCTCCTCTCCTGACAGCAATATTCTTCTGCTTTTCCAGTTCCCCAAGACGATACTCCTAACCGTGATCCTCTCCCCAGCCCTCGCCCTGCGAAAGCTGGGAGCTCTTGGAGAATGAGAGCACAGCCTGGTTAGCAGAGGGAGAAAAATGGAATGAGGAGCACAGCTACAGCTACATCTTCTAAATAAGTCGGTATCTAACATAGGCCAGCTTTGTTTGGGAACAAGAAGATAATATTATTCCATATTCATATGGGCTGTTATGTTCTTTGTCCAACTGGTTTTTCATCTCTTTTAAGCCAATGTATATTTACATGACTTCAGTAGTGCCAAAGAAAGACCAAAACTGGGTTTATCGGTTTTTGTTATCCTTCTCTGGATATCAGAACATCTGGGTTCATTAAGCATCCTACAACACAAGTGCAGAGATCTAAGCCTTATTTCCATCTTAAGGATGGCTTAGCTGAGGCAAGGAAAGCAGAAGACCCCAAGAACCATTGCAAACACTGTCCCAAAGGTCATGAGTAAGGAATTCAAACACAGGCACTGCAGATCATGTACATTCTCAAGACCAGAGGAGATTTGCCCACGCATACAGCACGAGTGAGTAGCAGACTTGGGCACAAACTCCGTCTCAGACTCCAAGTCTTTTACTCTACACTACTCACATCTCATTTCTTTCCTCTTCCAGCTTGCAGCTCCCTTTCAGCAAACGATCTTGTTTCAGCACCAGCCTCCATACACGGCAGAAACAGCAGAGCCCAAAGAACGGATGCTTAGAGCCACAGTGCTGTTGGCAAAATTTTTGGAGGGAAAAAAAAAAGTTTGCTGATTTGTCTCTCCAGTAAGAAGTAGGGTGAAGTACAACGCTGAAGCTTCCTGACACCCTGCCAGGGAGGCTGTCAGCCATCTGGCTGAACTGGATGGAAAGGTGGCCTGCATTATAGTTGGAGCAGCGCTGGCATTTTATAGCTGAAATTTAGTAAATGTGTAAGCTCAGAGAGCTTGGGACTGTCCTGGTTTCAGCTGGGATAGGGTTAATTTTCTTCCCAGTAGCTGGCATAGCACTAGGTTTTGGATTTAGTACGAGAATAACATTGATAATACACTGATGCTTTAGCTGTTGCTAGGTAGTGCTTACACCAGTCAAGGACTTTTCAGCTTCCCCTGCTCTGTCAGGGGCACAAGAAGCTGGGAGGGGGCACAGCCAGGGCAGCTGACCCCAATGGACCAAAGGGGTATTACATACCATATGATGTCACGCGCAGGGGGAGTTGGCCGGGGGAGAGCGATTGCTGCTCAGCATGGGCTGGGCATCGGTCAGCGGGTGGTGAGCAGTTGCACTGTACATCACTTGTTTTGTATATTCTACATATTCTGTTATTATTATTATTTTCCTCTGCTGTTTTATTAAACCGTCTTTATCTCAACCCACAGATTTTACTCTTTTTCCCCCGATGCTCTCCCCCACCCCACTGAGGTAGGGGGGAGTGAGCGAGCAGCTGGGTGGCATTCAGCTGCCTGTTGGGTTAAACCACAACAGGGACACAGCAGAGCCAGCACCCCTGGCTTGGGGCAGTCTGGTCAGTGCTGCTACTCCCCCAGGTAGGTCCACAGAGGCAGGCAGGAAGAACGGCAGCAAACCACGGCAGGACTCCTGCCCCTGCCTCCAGTCCTCCCCAGCCAGCCTGGGCTGGAGAGTGAGCTGGTCCTGACAATACAGCATATACATGACCAATGTAGCAAAGCCCAGAAAAATATCCAGCTGAAATGACAAATCCCTACTAAGTTACACACCTTAAATATCCTAGGAGCTAGGTTCCCCAGTGAGAGCTAACCTTCTCCGTGGCATCGCTTGGTGTTAGGAGACCCCTGGGGCAGCTGCAGACTGTGCATAGCCCTTCTTCATTCTCTCCGGATAACCTCCACTCTGCTCCCCTCACCGAGATGAAAAAGCAAGCCCAAATGCTGTAACATTACCAGAGCATGTCCTGTCTCCCACACTGATCCGTGTTTACGACTTTGCAAGGGTAAAATGAGCTCCAGTTGCCTTTTGGTGCCAGTCCCAGGAAACCCCACAGTGTAACAGAGGGTTGCACAGACGGCTGCCCCTCTGTCCAAGTACAAACAGCCATACAAGCCCATCATGAATAACAAAAGACGTTTTGGCAGTCCAAAGTGGTTTATGATGTCCATGGAACAAAAAGGAAGCTCTGATCTGAAGAGTGGGTCTGTCACCCACAGACCTGCAGAAAATTAAATGCTTACACTACAGTGGATTTGCAGAAGAAATTTATTTTAACTGATCATGTGTTCCATGCATCACCCTTTGATGCTTACGTTCTTGCAGCACTCTACAAGAGCCTAACAATCCTGTACAGAAAAACTCTGCTAAAGAAGGAATATTTAAAAAGCACTAAACACCTCACAGAAATACATGGAGGGTTCTTGCCAAATCAATTGGCACGAGCCTGTGTGACCCAAACACCAGGGTGCTCGTTTCACAGCTCTCACCTTTCAGAGTTGCCGTAACATTTCCTGGGCAATCCCGATTCAATTGCACCTACCTCTCATTTCTGAAAAAGCCCGAGATGACTGCACGTGGGGTGTCGTAACGCTGCCTCAGCAGGAGGAGGATATTGCGTTGGTGGAGAGCAGAACAGCATGTCCAGAAACACACACAACACAGGGATTTTCCCAGCGAGCAGCCACACCCCGTGCCACTGGGTCCCTCCTTCGGCAGGGACTCCTACTACCTAGGGCTTGGCAGAGAAGACCTGAGCCATATATTCTTTCTCCTTTGCTGTTTCCCCATTGCTCACTGCTTCCACCAGGCCCCCATTAGCCAAGACGGGACATCCCCTACTGAAGGTTACACGTTTCTATGAATGCCTGCAGCCCTCTGGCATCCCAAGGAGAAAAGCCTCCCTGCCTTCAGCCTCTGCAATGCGCCCTGCACCGAGATGAACGTTGCTGAGGTGCACGTTGTGAATCTGGCCCCAATAACTCAGCATGGTCCAAGAGACAATGATACAAGAGCTGTTCATCTGCTCAGGGTATTATAATTGCTTGTTTGCCAGCACTGCAGAGGGGCAAGGGCTCATGGGGGGACTCACTCCCCTGCACAGCCCTTATTTTTTGAACATTACCCCCTATAAAGCCAGCGCCTGTTCTTTCCTCCCTCCCCCTTTCCACTCGCCTCCTTCAAATCATGCTCTCTCCTTCCACCCCCAAAAAGGAAGTCCAGAGCCGAGACGCACACAATCTGCCTCTTCACAAGAGCTGGGCTGAACGTGTGCCAGAGGAGCTGCGAGCATGACAACAAATTTCCTGTCAGGAAAGTGACTCAGTGAGATGGGTATGAGAGCTCTTCTTACTCGAGAAGTTCCCCTCTCCCATTGCATTGCTGAGGCGTGAGTCAGAATCCGAGAGCCGGAATCTCAGCCCCCTCCAGATCCAACCAGGAAGAGCAGAGTTCAGGTTCAAGCCCAGGTCCTGCTTGCAACTCAGTGACAAGCCAGCACCACGCACCAAGCCCTCGTTTCACCCCTTGCAGAAGGGGAATAACAACACTGACCAAGTGGGCAGCCTGAATTTGCAAAGCACTTTTAGGTCGAGGTGGCTCTTACTGCTATTTGCTAACGCACCCGATTACACCATGCTCGTAGCCCCTATACATGAGCATTATACAATACCCACACAGAACTATCATCACATTCATACATTTTGCTAAAGTATTTTACACACGACCATTTCATCCAGGAATACTGCAAATGCTTAAAAATCTCTGCGGCCAGTTTTCTTTCTCCAGCCTCAGCCCAGCTCTCCGTGCGACAAGCAGGCAGACCCCCCACATGCCATGTCCTTACCCGAGCCGCTGCCGAGGGTGACCATGCCCAGCCAGAGCGTAACCAGCAGGGCACCAACCATCTTCATCCTGCAGAGACAAAGCACACACAGACATTCTGGTTATTTTACACTATTTCATCACTGCAGACAATTTTTTAAACTCTGAGTGTATGCATTTATTCCTCTGCCTGCCCAATGATCCTTTAATTCTGGTATCTTTTTTTTTATTTCATTAAGATTCCCTGAGAAAAGTGTCTGTACGGCAGTGCTGTCCTGCCTTGCAGGCAGCTGCGTGAGCTCTCCAAGCCTGGGAGGTGATGGCTCAGAAAAGGACAGCCGAGCTCATTGACTTAAGTCACTGGAATAGTCTATGTCCATGAGCACAAGGAGTAAGGTTGATGCTTGCAGGCTAGAAATCCCAAGCTTTGACTCCTAAAACACTAAGGTCCTTTGCTGAGACCTCATTCTGCCAGCATGCACTCTCATTTCTAAGAACAAGTGCAGGAAGCACTCACGATGGCGAGCGGTGGCCGAAGCCCATTTGCACTGAACACATGTCTGACCGTACAGCGTGACAGCCGTGCCGGTGCATCCAAATTTGCAAGCTCTGCTGGTGACCTGCAAGGAGGCTGGCTGCCGGAGTCCTGACTGCTTCACCCTGTTCCGGCAGGGACATCAAGGCAGAACAAGGCTCCACCAGCTCTTTCCAGTCAAACCCTCTTTGGAACAGCCACCTTGCAGTAGTCAACAAGTGCCATGTTTATATGCTTTTGGGAAAGGATCTGAACAAAGGTTTATACTTTCAAAGCAGCACTGACAGGCAGAAAACAATCCCAGACTTCTCCGTTCCCACTACAGAACACAATTTCCTGTAATTTGAGATAAATGTACACTGCCAGAATTTCACTTGTTGCCCATTCCAGTATCTGGCATTCGGCTCTCAGAGCCGTTCATGCACTAGAATTAAATTTCCCTGTGTTTCTAGGTTTTCCAGGATGCAACTTATAAGCTGCTAGTCACAGAAGCTGACATTTACTAGATGCTCTCATTAATGGGGCGAAGGTTGCATTTGATATTCCTGGGTGCTGTCAGATCACAAAGGGAGAAGAGATAGTTAAAAGGCTGAACTTCATCAAAGCATCTCAGTTCCGCCGGGCAGATGCGGTAATGAGCATGGTGATACTGTCAGGAGCGCGCTCAGGAGATGACAGGGAAATCTGCTCCGTCAGGGTGTGCGAAAAGGGTGGAGAGAGAAGCCACAGAGCTCACTTAAACATGTCCCTCATAAACCTGTCTGTAATATATGCATTACGCAGAAGGGCTTCGAGCATAAGCAGAGAGCACCTAAGACTGCACAGATTGGAGAGATTAACAAGAACGGGACGTGTGAACTGTACTACTCGGAATCCAGCAGCGGATATTGAAACCTTCCTTTTCAATGCGGGCATCTGAAAAGCCTTTATACGATGCTTTCCCTCTGCTGGGCTCATCTCGAAGAGACAAAGGAAATCCGGAGCAAGCCTGCTCTTCCCCACACGGTCCATGCAAAGGGCTGGAGACTGCCTCAGAAGCCGTAAGGCCTTCAGAAATGGGCAAGAAGCCGGGAAGAAAGTGAGTCTTCTTCCCTGGGGTCCAGCTGAGAGGGCTGGTCGACCCCTACCTCCTTCATCCAAACTGAAATGCCAGCTGCTAATCAAACCCTTCTCTGTTGCCACCTACAACCAGCTCCTAATGCCACTTAAGAAGACTCCATAGGGAGGAAACAAAATTAAGTTACTCCTGTCCTCTGGGAATGCTGAAGATAGATAAAACATCTTTACGCCATCAGATTAGACAGACAGAACCAACATGCTGCACTTCTGGTGGGAATTTAGGAACTTTTGGGGATTCAGATGCTGGGAGAGAGGGAGTGTAAACAGTGGGGGGATCATTTCCATAATAAATATCCCTCATGGTTCCCTCTCCATTTGTCATTAGAGAAATGCATAGCGTGTCCTAACTCACCCTTACTTTCCAGTGATTCTCTCCTGCATTTTGCACAAATCGGACTGAATTCAGCCCTGAAGCAAGCAGGGACAACTACTGACTTTGGATGAGTTTCTCTCGTTCAGAGCTAGGCCGCTTACGTGGCCCGAGGCCAAAATAAACTACTACGTTTCACTCAGTGATACACGAACTCTGCAGCAAGCTAATATTTACATCCATTAACTATGCTCGGAGGAACACGCTCCTTTCAACTGTCTCAAAGAGCCACCAGGTCTCTGTTCCCGAGCAAGGTATCTAACATTTCCACGCACTGCCCGCTAGTAGGAAAACCCTGATTTCATAGCTGGGTAGAACAAGAAGCCCTGCACAAGGTGATTTACTTCAGGTTCATTCCAGGCTCTCCAGAGCTCTTATCAGCGGAGACAGACTGACACCGAGCCTGTCAGATTACAGGAATTTCTCCGTTATGGGAATGGGACTCCATTGACGACAGCCCCAGCCGCTCTCACGCCATACAAAACCCAGGAGGCTGTGGAAGGCATGTGCATGGTCAAAGGCTGGACGAGGGGAGTCACCACAACCTCCTGGTTGCCCTGACCACACCAGCATTTTTGCCAGCTGAGGTGAAGGAAGAGGATTCTCCCCCTTTGCTAAAGAAATGGAGAGCTCGCACACACAATGAAGGAGGAGGGGACTGTAGGGCAGGATGGTTTCTGCAGTCCAGCTCTGTTCCTATGGCATATGATTATTCCAGAAAAATTCTGTTGATGCCACAGGATCTGATGGTTTGTACTACTAACACAGCACTGGGACCCATTCTTAGGTACTTGTGCTGCTAGCACTCTGATGCTTTATGTTAAATGACCTGAAATCTGTGATATGCCCCAACGAGAAAGGTCCTTCTGCAATAGTCCTGTGGTCACACAATGTCATCATCTCCCCCCATTTTGGGGGGGGGGATAACATGATTCTGCCAGTGACACCAGGAAAAGGACACTGCACCCATTCAGGCACAGAGAGAGAGGGTGGGTTTTGCAACGCCCCAAGAACCTGATGCCGCAGGACTACAACCCACCCCAGCCTTGCCAGGAACGGGAAGAGTTTTCTCAGCCTTTTCCAGCAACCTGCTGCTTTGTTCCGTGACATCAGAAAGCATGTTGCCATTTTGCCTGTATATGATGAAATTCCAGTGGCGTCTGATGAACTTCTTGCACAATTTGGCACGGCTGCACTGAAACACCAGCACGTCTGGCTGCCGCTGATGGAGCTGGAGGTCAGAGAGCCTAAACCCCAGGCTGCAGCAGAGAGGTTCACCCAACTGCACCCACCCAAAAAGGTCACAAACCTCACCTCTAGTACACAAGCAAATAAAATGAAAAGCAAACACTAAAGGGAGCCAGGAATAAAACCAGGGAGCAGAAGAGCTTACCGGCTCAGAAATCAGCAGGCAATCAGAGCAGCCAGGAGAAGGCTGGAGAGCTCCGATATGTCCTCAGCACTCCAGGAACTTCTCATGAGACCAATACACTCTGAGGTGTTCTTAATGTCTCCATAAATTAGCATTCTAATAATAATAATAATAATAATTCATAGAGCAGCTGGGGAAAACAATCCATCACTGCTGTTGCTGGAATTTTTTTTAAGAAACTTGAATGAAAAATCTGTTTGTTACAAACCAGAAACTGGTTCCTTTTTGTTCCTGAGCATTTTCCTCTTCAAACTTTCACCTTCTGTCTACTGGAGAGCAAAGAAATGCAGGGTGGGGGGAAACACAGTCATGGAAGTGCCTCCTGTTCTTAAAAACAGAGGTTGTGGTAAGGTTTAGTTTTTCATTTGATACTACCCAGAAATGGTCTTTATGTCAGAAAACACAGGAATACTTTCCTGTAAGAGAACTTTCAATAAAACCCTTCCCAAACAGACCTAGGCAAGGAATCGCTCACTTCTGCCTTTAGCAGCATGGACCCCACAAAGCCTACACACTTTCCAAACAATTATAAAACCCAAGACAGATGTCAAATAATTAATGAAGAGAGCTGCACTCAAACCGCTGTACACCTATTCTCAAAGACACTGTACCAATTCTACAGAACAATGCTGCATTTTTCCAAGGAAACGCCTTTGTCCTTCCTAACCACAGGCACCTCGGGAGAGCTGACAGGTTTTTTGCTTTTCACTGAGAAGTCACACTACAGCATGCAGAACAAAAGCGCCCTTCAAACCTTGCCACTAAGTGCTCCAGCTGAAAGGGCATTTAAAACGAAGCCATTTCAGAAAGGTGAAAAAAATAACACTGGCCAGAGCAGGTTTTACATATCGTTTTCTTTCTGTAATTCTGTCCCAAGCCCTTCTGAGTCAAAGGCATTTGGCAGCGTAGGACTGGCCCCAGGAAGAGATGCGGACACAGGAAGGCTAGCAAAAACCAGGGTGGGCTAGTGTCAGAAATGCTTTGCTTCTATGCCACGTGGACGCAGGGCTGAAGGCTGGTGGGCTGCAGAGCGAGGCTGGTGCTCAGGAGAGGGGCACAGCTTCTCTGCTCCCACATCACTGCATGCCCACGAGCCCCGGGTCCCTGCATCATCACGCAGCAGCACTGGAGAAGGTTGCTCAATGAGTTTGCTGGGTTTTCTTATGCGGAAGGTAGATCTACAGTCCAAGTAAATTCAAAGAATCCAAAAGGCAGACAAAGGGCAGCCTGCGAAAGCAGCTGCAGAAAAGTAATAGTAAAAACACTAATGGAAAGTGGGAAAAGGCGCTTCAGCCCTCCAGGAGACACTTTTGCTTTTCAGTATGTGCAGGACTAAGTCAGACAAAGGAGGGAATTACTGTAGCATGAACCATCTTGGTGCCACTTAGCTGGGATTTGCACAGCGTCTCTCTGACCCTGCTTCTCCTCCGGAGGCCATTCGGGCACTGCACAGCACCACCCTTTCCTACGCCGCCAGCATTTCCACTCGTGCCCCTGCCCAAAGCAGAGCCACTCCTGCAGTGAGCTGGCCGGTCCTGCGGCCAGCCCTCCTGAGCAACGTAATGTCACACCGAAATCTCTGGAGACGTGGGCAGAAAGACAGGCAAAGGGGTTTGGAAGTCCAGCCTTTTCTCCC